CAACTGAATATTATAAGATCCCCGTGCGTAGAACGGGTACACAGCTAGTATTAAAATAAAGTGAAGACCAAAGGCATCACAGCTGTGGCTAAGTTGACGCCACAGTCTCAAGCCTTATGGAACAATGTAAAAGTTTTTCCTCAGCCACCAGCACTAAAAAATCTCTCAAAAGTAGAAAATTTGTTGTTAATTATCACGTATAGTACTTTTGAAAAATATTTATATAAAAGTTTGGTTCAGCTAAAAGTGGTGTAAGGGGTGGATAGTTTTGTTTGCTCAAGATGCAGTCGAAATTGCAAATCAACTTTCTCTAGGACCTTCTGAAGCAGGCATAATAAAGGATATGATATATAACATGGCTGGAGAATATTAATAAACATTCCACATCTGCAAAGGCATGTTTAATAATTAAAATATTTAACACTTTTAAGACGATTGACGATTATGCACTCTCACACTAAATAATTGCATTTAATTTATATTTGGACCTCTTTTACGAATGCTTTGGTTTTCACAATACACCTTTATTTGTCAATATCATACAGCTGCTATTCACTATGTTTTTATACGTCAGAATATTCAATACTCAGATACACTAATCTTGTCAAACGTTGAAATACCTTTTTAATAGTAATCAAAACAAAATGTATTTTTTCAATGTAATTTATTTAGGCTCCTTGACAAGAAATAGTTTATTAATAAATATGAAGCAACTGTTTCATGAATAGTCTGTAGCTTCATTTAAATGGTTGCAACTAACAGCGGTAGGAATATTATTATTTATTGTATTCTCTGCACAAATATAAACAAAATACATTTTTTGTTCATTTTTAGAACATTCAGCAAATACAATAGCAACTATTAATAAAACGTTAATATACTACTAACGTTATATTTGGAGTCTCACACTACAGGCGGGATACCTGTGTGCGAAAAAGCATTTCCCTCCTCTCCCTTAAAAAAATATGAAATAAATGGATATGCCAGGTTTGATCCAAACAAGCAGACTACAACAGTTAACTTATTCTTCATAAGAATAACATGGAAATTTTTTATTTACAATTTTCTCCGTAACCAATAATCATACAGAAACACTTCAATATACAATTTTTTTAGCTATTCAAAATAGTCTAGAAAAAATTTGGAAAGTTTTATTTTTGAGGGTCAAAAACGAGAAAAACCTATTTTTACCCCATAAACCCCCGTTTCCAAGGTCTGATCATGCTGGTTTGCGAACTCGTTCGAATAAACGTAATTTTGCACGTTTGTACCAAATTTCATCGAAATCGAATCATTTTTGCTCAAATTATTGAGTGGAGCGAGCGAAGCTCTTATACGTCGACTTTTATGCATTTCGTAGTACGCAAACTCCTCCTAGACGGCTGAATCAATCGTTTTCAAATTTTGGGTGGTGATAAAGACCGTATCGGTGAGTGCCAACATCTATATGGCGTTAAAAATAACTCTCAGGAATCCGCCCCACTGGGTCTCAAAGTTTCAATGTAATCCTTATGGAAGCAGTATTTGACACATAAATAAATACATATGATCAGCTGTTGACTTTTGAATGCAGTAGATAAAGAAATAGCTGATAGCATTATTCCACAGATATTAGAACAGAAACGGTATGAATCATAAATATAATCAAATGACGACACTAGCTTGAGGTCCGTGACGTAGGAAGTGCTGAAGGAAGTACTAAAGGTGAGCAGTCTGGAGTGTGGAAACTGTTTATGACGATTAGATCAAGGTATCTACAATCCTTAAATGCTATTCAAAGGGAGGGAAACAGGTCCGTGGCGTAGGAAGTGGTGAAGGAAGGGGTTAAAGGCGAGCAGTCCGGAGTGTGGGAAATGTTTATGACGATTAGATTAAGGTATCTGCAATCATAAAATGCGATGGGAAGGAAGGTAAACAGGTCCGTGACGTAAGAAGTGGTGAATGAAGTAGTAAATGCGAGCAGTCCGGAGTGTGGGAACTGTTTATGACCAATAGATTAAGGTATTTGCAATCGAAAAATGCTAAGGGAAGGGAGGTAAACAGGTCCGTGACGAGGGAGGTGGTGATGGAAGTAGTAAATGCGAGCGGTCCGGGGTGTGGGAACTGTTTATGACCAATAAATTAAGGTATCTGTAATCTTATAATGCTATGGAAAGGGAGGAAAATAGGTACGCGACGTAGGAAGTGGTGATGGAAGTATTTAAGGCGAGGTGTCTGGAGAGTGGAAATTGTTTATGACGATTAGATTAAGGGATATACAATCCTAAAATGCTATGGGAAGGGAGGAAAACAGGTCCACGATATAGGAAGTGTTGAAGGAAGTAGTAAAGGCAAGCTGTCCGGAGTGTGGGAACTGTTCATAACGATTAGATTAAGGGATCTGCAATCCTAAAATGCCATGGGAAGGGAGAGAAAAAGGTCCGAGACGTAGGAAGTGGTGAAAGCAGTAGTCAAGGTGAGCTGTCCGGAGTGTCCGGATCTGTTTATGACGATTAGATTAAGGTATCTACAATCTTAAAATTCTATGGGAAGAGAGGGAAACAGGATCGCGACGTAAGAAGAGGCGAAGGAAGTAGTAAGGTGAGCAGTGCGGAGTGTGGGAACTGGGAACCGTTTGTAGCAGTTAGATTAATGTATCTGCAATGCTGAAATGCTATGAGAAGGGATGGAAGCATCCCCAATACATAGAAAATTGTGAAAGAAGTAGTAAAGGCTAGCAACGCGGAGTGTGGGGAATGTTTGTGGCAATTAGATTAACGTATCTAAAATACTAAATTGCTATGGAAAGTGATGAAAACAGGTCCACGATGTAGGAAATGGCTTATAAAGTAGTAAAGTACAGGGTGGCGCAGATGGATTGGGTGGTTTTAAAATACTTGTCAAACTGTCAATTTTAAAGGTATTGGATTGAAATAAAGTGTAAAACGTGTAGTTACAATGGAAGTTTATTGACAAAAAATTAGTTAAGTTAGTTTTTAAAAATTATATCAATTAAATGCCTTCCTTCTTGAGCGACGCATTCTTGGAGTCGGTCTTCGAGGTTCCGCATTTCTCGCTCAAGCACATCACCAGGAATTGATGTGATTTCGTTGTGAATTGCAGCCTTCAACTCCTGAATGGTCCGGGGTTTGTTCATGTAGACCCTTGCTTCAGGAGTTGAAGGCTGCAATTCACAACGAAATCACATCAATTCCTGGTGATGTGCTTGAGCGAGCAATGCGGAACCTCAAGGTCCGACTCCAAGAATGCCTCGCTCGAGAAGGAAGGCATTTGATGGATATAAATTTTAAAAACTTAACTAATTTTTTTCAATAAACTTCCATTGTAACTACACGTTTTGCACTTTATTTCAATCCAATACCTTTAAAATTGGCAGTTTGACAAATATTTTAAAACCACCCGATCCATCTGCGCCACCCTGTATGAGCATAGTGTGAAAACCGTCTGTGGCAGTTAGATTGATGTATCTTTAATCCAAAATTCTATGAGAAGGGAAGGAAACAAGTCTATGACGTAGGAAATGGTGAAGGAAGTAGTAAGGTTTGCAGTGCAGAGTGTGGGAACTGTCTTTGGCAATTACATTAATGTATCTGCAATCCTAAAATGCTATGGGATGAGAGGGAAACAGGTCCACGACGTAGGGGGTGGTGAAGGAAGTAGTAAAGGTGAGCGTGTTGAGTGTGGGAATGGATTAATGTATCTACAATGCTAAAATGCCATGGGACGAGACTGTAGCACGAATCGATACATATTTCGATACATGCAATTGCTTACAATATAAATTTACAACTGAGTTGACAACAGCTGATTTTTACTCCATAGAGGCTTAAAACTATTTTGACTTCCTAAAGAGTAAAAATGATACTTTAGACCCGCAACGCATGCATTAAAAACGACTGTTATTACTGCAGTTTGACCAAAACAATACAATATAAACCCTTGATGACTCCGCTCAATTTTGTGGATGCCTCTGCGAACGCCACCTAGTAGTGCTAACGGACACACACACACGCGCGCGCGCGCGCGCGCTCACACACAAGGAAACACCTCGAACCATAATCCGGTTTTTAATAACGAACATCTCTATCCATGTACATCAAATGATCATATACAAAATTACTAATTACATCTTAATATAAAATTACTACCAATCTACTTTACTTGCAAAGTCTTGGATAAAAGATTCCGACAACTTTTGATATTTAAACGCAATACCCCAGCACCCGTCAAAGTTTACAGCCATTTCCCGAAGAAAGTATTCGGGAATTTCTGGTGCTTTAAAAATGGAGCCCAGTTCACTCTGTGAAAGTATATTCTGAGCATATCAATGGAAAAATCATAATGGGACGAAAAAATTTCCCAATCTAAGATCTAGTAAATCTCATGACAAATTTGTCTGTTTGAACCCCGTGAGGCTCTTTGCTCTCTTGAGACAACAGTGAGCAGGCGTTCTCCATCTCCAAGCTCATACTGGCCGCTTTCATGGAGGGACAGGTTTAAGTAGTACTGTAGAGTGTAGGCTGCACTGAAAGCACACATTTTATGGTCACCCTCACACAGCTTACTCCTTTAAGGTAGAAATTGTAAACAGACGGGCCAGTGATTTTCCGTACGTTAGGATGAAACCCTCGCAAAAATCTGCCTTTGGTTTAAATAATTTTAAAAGGAATGCAAAGAGCTGTAATTAAACCTTGATTGTATGGTACAGAACCTTCATTCCAACGAATACCGTGATGACTTGTTAACCAGCGAGTGGTTATTTGCATTTTATCATTTACATTTTTAATAGGTACTATAAGAGGGTTTGAAAATTATTTGGCAATTCAATTATTGTGTAGAGTGGGACTGTTTCTGTGTAGTATTATGTAAAACATTTTACTCAGTATATTAGGATAGGCATTGCAAAGCTTGCGTTATTTTACAAGGAATCTATTCAATCTGATATTTTGGCAGCTAATTTTTCTTTAACGGGTTATATAACATGTTTTTTTATGTTTCAGAAATGGCAAGGCCGGTGAAGGGAGGCTATCTACTCAGGCATAAAAGTAAGTTAAATTTTTTTTTTTTGTAAGTACAATATAATATATTCTTTTCGGTGTACTGCAGAAAAAACTGCCGTTTTAATACATGCGTTGCGAGTCTAAAGTAGCATTTTTACTCTCTAGGGAGTAAAACGCATTAACCGTTAGGGAGCGAAGATCTGCTGATGTCAACTCAGTTGTAAATTTCTATTGTGTTTACAATTGCATTTATCGAAAGTATGTAGGGATTGATTTTTTATTCGATTGTAGTTAATCGTTGCCTTGTTGTAAATAGTTCGACATATTGATAGTATACAGTATGCTAACACAGTCGTAATAGACCAAACAATTGAGTCACTTACTAAACAGATAGCTGCTTGTTTCCGTTAGCAAATTAAAATGAAAACGAGCTAGAAGTAGTTTTGAGAAGTTATTGTTGAATGAAAACGATTTCAGATTTGTTACCTAGTTTGTTCAATGGAGCAATGTGACAAAAAATATAGTTTATCACACGGGCAAAAAGTGTCTTTTCAACCTTCGTTCATTTTCCAACGTCGGCTTTGCCTCGATCATAAAACTTGAGCTCCGGTCGAAAAAACACACTGGAGTCACTGGAACTAGGGATGAAACATACTATTTCACAGCTATGTTGTAGGTCCATTTAATCTAAAACTTTGATATAGTTTTTTTTTTTTTTTACTATGCCATTGATTAAGGAAATAAAAAACTATTCTTTAACCGATGTTGTGTCAACCAAGGCTCTGTAGAACTAAATAATGTAAGATTAATTTGAATGTAATCATTGAAAGCCTAACTTTTATAAGATAGTTTCAACTATCAAGATTTGTTATAATATTAACGAGGTATTAGCCCGTCCTTCGTACGGGAATCGAGTAGTCAGTTAAAACTGTGTATATTTCAGAACAGCTAGTTTATACGGATAAATATACATTTTCTTGCAGTTGTCCCTTGACCAAATTTGTTTTCATCCCATTATAGGCCTATACAATATACATTTTAAATTCGATAATTTTATAATGAAACCGCAATTGTGTCGATGTAAAAAGCCTTGATGTGAGATTTGTGGCCGATTCGCACATTGATTATAAGTAGGTTGAATATTATACATCACACATTATACAATATACATTGATTATACACCTACAGTAGAGAGAGTATAGTCAATTGGGAAGTGTATTGCCAACGATACCACCTTCCATCGCATACTATAACTTAGGTACCGTACCACCTCTGTCGCAACTGAAGGTCAGGGGAACACTTGGCGCCGGAGCAAGTTGAGATACACAGGAAGGCATGGGGAAGGCCACAATTCTCTGGTTCGGCGAAACCACCGGACTGGCGGAAAAATGCTCCGGCGAAACCACCGGATATTCTCTACTTCGCCGGACCGCCGGATCGGCGGTTTCGCCGGCCCAGTGGGTAGTGGGGCATTGTTCCTTATGGAGATGAACACACATACCGGCGAAACAGCCGGAACTGCGACTGCCCCCACTCCTCAGTCGTGGTTCAACCCTCAAGGGTGGTGGTTGTTTTTCACTTAAGCGCAGTGTCCAATTGGTGTATTTAGTTTTATTTTGCTAATTAGTTAATTTATTTATTATTTTTAGTCTGTTTAGTTCTATATCATCATGGTCGATGTTGATATGGATTTACTTTTTGGTTTGATTTATGAGAAACCAGAACTTGACAAAAACAAAACGAGGGACAGCTGGAGACAAATTTGTGCTGCATCTCTTGTGGATAAATACAGTCTCTCATGTACGTGTCTTGTCCTTGTATTTGCACTCTAATCTTCAATAATTGCTCGTCGAATGAGGGGACAGACATTCGAAAATAATTAAAAACCTTATTTTCATTATTCCTCAACTGTAAAAATAAAGTATAAAATGCCCCATTGAGGTGTCTGTTCTCCAGAATCGGATGAACCCAAATATTTCGGTGGTGTTTTCTCTTCCTTCTGTGGTGGATCAAACACAGAACGGCCAATTTTTGAGGTCTTGACAGTGCCATTTCTAAGATTAAACTGATTCAGAGTTGACTGCAGTCTGTTTATTGTTGCCGCCTCCAGCAACATAGTTTTTGCCGGGACAAGTGTGTTCCGAACCTCAACCTCCGGCGGTTCCGGTTGAAGATAAGTGACTCTGAAGAAGAAAATTTAGTTTTTTCTTTTTTTCCATATAGGCCCTACTTTGTATAGAGGGAGAAAGTAATAGACCTTAGACGTTATTGGCTTTTACAATTCAAGGATCAACCAATCATTTTGTTATAATTTTTCAAAAACCACATTTTATAATGGGTTTTGAATATTGATATGGTCTTATTTGTTAAGTTCTTTCATCTAATATTTTTTCTTTAGCCTTTTTAGAATTAATTGGAACAGCTGATGATTTTAAAATGATTCATATTGTACAAATAAAACATTCCTTTCTGTTCTTCTTGTAAACATGGTTTACTATTTTTTTCTCTCTAGGTGAAAAAAACGAACCTCTATCACAACAAACCTGTTGTGATGGTTTTTTTCCGATTTCGTAAATATTTCCGCCACTAGACTTTCAATATCCATCTTTGCACGACCAACGACACTAGCTGAGAAAAAGGACTGAAGCATTGTCACAGCTACTATCGCTGGTTGGGACCTAAGAGAGATTTAAAGCGCAGCTCCAAAGTAAACAGACCCTGAGGTTACTGCCTCCCCCCCTATTCCCTTCTATCACCTGCGTCTTTTATAATTATTGCCACCACAATGCAATTACTCATACTATACCAAATTTACAGTAAGTCAAAATAAAAAAAAAATACCTAAAATAAAACGAATCCAATAAAAGTCACAGTATGTACACAATTTTGGTATCCTGACATCATTACATGAACCGTCCATATAACTAACTATCATTAATCAATTTCACTGCATCAATTGCTAAGTTAATGAGTAAAAGAAGAAAAGTAAAAACAATAACAAATAGTTTGTTTTGAAACTACTGGGAAATATAGCAAAGATACGCCACTTGGGATGTTTTCCCCATAAAAAAACATGGTGAGCATTTTTTTGCCATTTTGTATAGACCCTGCTCTCGGTCTATACAAGCCCATACAAATGTTCAGTACTATTGTCCAACTCCATTAACATTCCAAAACCACGTCCATTCCCATGTATATTTCCAAAATCATCGACTTGACAGTGCAAGGTTTGCACGCGAACTCGGGCGTGCTACCACTCCCGACCCATGCTTCTCGCTCCTGACCCATGGTCGGGCTTCTCACCCTCATTGGTAAAGCGATGAAATGGCACTCCCCTGGACATCCTTTGTGGAAATCCATGAGTTCTGGCTACTTGGGAACCCAAGCCGTTTGACATACAACATATCACCGTTTCTCCTAATCATCTTCTCTACCAAATGCATGTCTTTATACTTGGTCTTTAACAACTCCTCTGTATAGAATCCTCCCCTGATTATGCCCCACCACTGAGGGGCGGTAACATGCCACCAGAGAAGAGCATTCAATCCAGACAAACCAATTTCTAAAAACATAAACTCTGGTTTAGCCAAGTACTCACCCGGAGATACATACAATTGTCTGGCATTTAAACCGTCTTTAACATAAACAGCCACTCAAACAAGACTGGTGGTTGGAGTAAGAGGTACGACACTAGCTTGAGGTACGTGACGTAGGAAGTGGTAAAGGAAGTAGTAAAGGCAAGCAGTCCGGACTGTGGGAAATGTTTTTGAGGATTAGATTAAGGTATCTGTAATCCTAAAATGCTATGAGAAGGGAAGAAAACAGGTCCGCGACGTAGGAAGTGGTGAAGAAAGAAGTCAAGGCGAGCTGTCTGGAGTGTGGAAACTGTTTATGACGATTAGATTGAGATATTTACAATCCTAAAATGCTATGGGAAGGGACGAAAACAGGTCCGCGATGTAGGAAGTAGTAAAGGAGTAGTCCAGGCGAGCTGTCCGGAGTGTGGGAACTGTTTATGACGATTAGATTAAGTTATTTGCAATCCAATAATGCTATGGGAAGGGAGGTAAACAGGTTCGTGACGTAGAAAGTGGTGAAGGAAGTAGTAAAGGCGAGCATTCCGGAATGTGGAAACTGTTTGTGACGATTAGATTAAAGTATCTGCAATCCTAAAATGCTATGGGAGGGAGGGAAACAGGTCTGTGACGTAGGAAGTGGTGAAGGAAGTAGTCAAGGCGAGCCGTCCGGAGTGTGGAAACTGTTTATGACGATTAGATTATGGGATCTGCAATCCTTAAATGCTATAAGGGAGGGAAACAAGTCCGAGACGTAGGAAGTGGTGAAGGAAGTAGTCAAGGTGAGCTGTCCGGAGTGTGGGAACTGTTTATGTCGATTAGATTAAGGCATTTACAATCTTAAAATTCTATGGGAAGAGAGGGAAACAGGTCCACGACGTAAGAAGAGTTGAAGGAAGTAGTAAGGTGAGCAGTGTGGAGTGTGGGGGAACTGGAAACCGTTTGTAGCAGTTAGATTAATGTAACTGCAGGGCTGAAATGCTATGAGAAGGGATGGAAGCATGCGCACGACATAGAAAATGGCGAAAGAAGTAGTAAAGGCTAGCAGTACGGAGTGTGGGGAATGTTTGGGGAAATTAGATTAACGTATCTAAAATACTAAAATGCTATGGAAATTGATGAAAACAGGTCCACGATGTAGGAAGTGGCTTAGGAAGTAGTAAAATATGAGCATAGTGTGAGAAACGTCTGTGGCAGTTAGATTAATGTATCTTCAATCCTAAAATGCTATGAGAAGGGAAGGAAACAGGCCCCACGACGTAGGAAGTGGTGAAGGAAGGAGTAAGACTTGCAGTGCAGAGTGTGGGAACTGTCTTTGGCTATTGCATTAATGTATCTGCAATCCTAAAATGGTACGGGAAGAGAGGGAAACATGTCCACGACGTAGGGGGTGGTGAAGGAAGTATTAAAGGTGAGCAGTGTTGAGTGATGGAATTGATTAATGTATCTGCAATGCTAAAATGCTATGCG